ACGTCTATTCCTGTCCATAAAATAAACAAGAATATGAAGCATTATATGTAGCGTAAGGATGCCTTAAAATTATCTCTGTTTTCCTGTTCTATGCGGCTGTCATTTAAATTAGTTAATCTGAAGTTTTAGCTGGAACTTGACCGGCGGCGGATTGTTGCTGCTGTACCATTGTTGATTTTGATACGAAAATGTGGTGCATTTTTGTGTATTAAATGTCTGTGTATATAAACTATTAGTGGAAACGGTGAAACAAGTGCTGCGATGTTGATGTGAATCTTAAGATAAGGTGTCGGTCTGCTTAAGAGCCTTGACACTATCGCCAATTGTCTGCTGGCTCAAGTTGCTGTCAAAATCTCCCAAAACCTACGCAGTGTGATGCATTAACATACTGTGAAACAGTGTACTATTAGGATTATTATCACTTAACTGAAAATCTATAAAATGAATATCCCGAACGAAATGAAGACGAGTCTTAAAGAACAAGCATCCAAGTCAAAAATCTTAATAAGAAAATTATTTAATTTAAATCATTTATCATTTTGGCGGCAAAGCAAAAGAGAAAGAAAATGTTAAATGTTTAACCCTACCAAGCGTCTTTGTTTGTAAACAGTATGTAGGTATATTGTTATCTATAAAGTTGTCCTAAATATGAAAAACAGTGATATAAAGTCCAATGAATGTGATTCTCCAAAAACTCCAGGCGGAATCAGTAAATCTCTCTTAACGCCTATCAGACGACTTGGTCTTTCACGCAAATGGAAGAAATCAGGATCATCACCGTTCGTGTCTCCACTTGCAAGCAACATTGTTAAGCCCTCTGGCGAGGAAGGAGAAGAGAAAAAGTCAAGAAAAAGAAAAATTTGTGTCGATGAGGAGCCGGAAAACATACAACTTTCACCTGTAGTTGATAATACAGTCGAAATTGTTAACAGTGAAGTTATATCAACACCACCACCTGGTCAGGACAGTACAGTTAACACTCCTATCAGGAAAGTGACACGAAAAAAGTCTAAAACATTGTTATCATCATCTAGTAGTGCACAAAATAGGGAAACTTGCATCCCTACAGAAAATTCGGTTTATATACACATGCAGAACCCAGACAATTTAAATGTGTGCCCTGAAGTAAGACAAATAGATAAAACGGCACAAGAAGCTCAACAAACAAGCAATATTGAGAAATCAGGAAATAAGTCTCCCACACAAGTAGTAGTAGAAAGGGAAGTAAATGTTCAACCCGAACAAACTGAAATAGCAAATGAAAAAAAGAATAGCGATTTGGAATTAATCCCTGAAGAAATAACAAGCGAAAATGTGGTTATAACACAAACAAAAGTGCCAAATAATCTAACAAAAGAATGCATTGTTGTCATACAAAACAAAATTTTAAAACCAGCAAATAAAAATCGAACCAAAAATGATGTTTGTAAAAAAGAAAACAATTCTAATTCTCAAGTTCTATTTGATTCTGACTCTGATGATGTTCCACTAAGCTACATGAACAAAAAAGAGGATATTCAAAAAAATGTAAGTTTAGATGATGATTTCAGTAACATTAAGAGTGCTAAGGCACCAAAAGTTCAGCAGACAACAAACAAATCATCACTTAAAGATAGAAAGATTAGAACTTCAGAAAAAAAGAAAACCCATAAAACTACTAATCATTCTAAAGATCAAAACCTACCAGAAAAGAAGATAGATCAAATAGCTTTAAATCCATCATCACAGAGCTCAAATTCCTTTGATGATGATGATGATGATTTTGAAATGAACAAAAGGACTATATTAGTTCGGAAATCTTATGATAAAGTTGTAAAGATTTCAAAAGCTAAATCAACAGGTTCAATAACACAAAGGGACATAGATGAACTAAAGGCTAGGATTGAAACTAAAAAAAAACTTCTTTTTGCAAAGGCAATGACTAAAGAAACAGAAGAATTACGAGGCTTAATAAAGAAATGGCAAAAAGGTTGTCAGGATGCTTTAATGGAGTTACTAGAATTAATGAAGAAAAAATTGCCAGATCAGTCTAATATGGATTATTCTAATATTTTAGATATGTTAAAAATACCACATGACCTTGTAGGATACGATTCTGAAAATGATTGTTTTAATACCCCGGATGATAATAATGTACTGGCATTGACTTTTAATGACTTGTAGTGCTCCAATAGTCTTATTTCTCTAATACTTAAGAGCTTTAATATGCTGTATTTTAATGCAACACACATATATTACATTTAGTTTATTAATAGATATTTTTGATAAATAAATATGAAATGGATTATTAATATTTTTACTTAAGTAACATGATTTTTAATACAAATATAAAATATTTAATTTATTTAATCTTTTTTACATCTACTTTATAATAAGGGTGGACTTAATGCCTTATCACATTCTCTACCTATTCAACCCTGGATGATTTGAGAAGCTGTGGCAGGTGTAACAACCACTTCATAAATTAATAAATAAGTTAATAAAGTAATCTCGGCACATTACTTGATGGGGAAAGCTTGCTCATTGCCTTAGGAATCTGACTAGGAGTGGCGATTTGTCAACCTCATCAGTGCCCCTGTAGCAGCGTCGACAAGTTTGGGCTCCATGGACTTTCATGTAAGAAAAGTGCTGGTAGGTTTTCACGGCACGGTTCTTTGAACAATGTCATCCAAAGGGTTCTTGTCTATAAATGTTTTCTCGGTTTTAGAGACTTGTGGAATATTTAGAAACAATAGCAAGAGACCCGACGGTATGACATTGGTCCCTTGGGAGAGGTAAAGTCCTAGTGTGGGATGCTACTTGTGTACACACTGGCGGCCTCTCTTCTCAGGGGTACCTTGTTTAGAGCCAGGGCGGCATCAGAGGCAGCTGAACTGAGTAAGTAGCGCAAATATGAGTCTGAGAGATGAATACATATTTGTCCCATTTGCTGTAGAGACTCGGTCAGTGGGGTCCATGTGCGGTGAAGTTCCTAAAGGAATTCCATCTGCGGTTGCTGCTGGTGATAAGAGGGCTGGTTCTTTTCTCGCTCAAAGGCTAAGTATAGCCAGCGGGAAAACGCAGCCAGCATTCTTCGCATGATACCACGGGGACAGGACAAAAATTTTATATGTAATAATAATTTAAATTGACACAAAAAAAATTATATCTTACAACAAAATGCAAATAAATCAAATATATTAAAAATATACAAACTTAATATCTACTTTGTAATAATGAAAGAATGAATAGTAAATATATAAACGGAAGCTTATATATACAAAATCTTTAAATAAATATAAACTATATAATTATTTCTGTTGTGTAGTGGCATACATAGTAAGAGAACCCAACTATACTATATTATTCCATGGGTTTTGTAAGAGGCGAGGAATTCTGAAATTTGAGATGGGCACCGGTCTTCCTGATTAATAACTTGTTACAGATTAAAAAGTCCTCTCAAATTGATTATTGGCTTTATTGATGGTCATTGAACCTAATATTTTGGTGTAGATGGTGCTCAGGGACCATGTAGTGGCAGTGTGGAATGTGTAGTGACAGTGTGGACTGTGTAGTGGCGGTGTGGACTGTGTAGTGGCGGTGTGGACTGTGTAGTGGCGGTGTGGACTGTGTAGTGGCGGTGTGGACTGTGTAGTGGCGGTGTGGACTGTGTAGTGGCGGTGTGGACTGTGTAGTGGCGGTGTGGACTGTGTAGTGGCGGTGTGGACTGTGTAGTGGCGGTGTGGACTGTGTAGTGGCGGTGTGGACTGTGTAGTGGCGGTGTGGACTGTGTAGTGGCGGTGTGGACTGTGTAGTGGCGGTGTGGACTGTGTAGTGGCGGTGTGGACTGTGTAGTGGCGGTGTGGACTGTGTAGTGGCGGTGTGGACTGTGTAGTGGCGGTGTGGACTGTGTAGTGGCGGTGTGGACTGTGTAGTGGCGGTGTGGACTGTGTAGTGGCGGTGTGGACTGTGTAGTGGCGGTGTGGACTGTGTAGTGGCGGTGTGGACTGTGTAGTGGCGGTGTGGACTGTGTAGTGGCGGTGTGGACTGTGTAGTGGCGGTGTGGACTGTGTAGTGGCGGTGTGGACTGTGTAGTGGCGGTGTGGACTGTGTAGTGGCGGTGTGGACTGTGTAGTGGCGGTGTGGACTGTGTAGTGGCGGTGTGGACTGTGTAGTGGCGGTGTGGACTGTGTAGTGGCGGTGTGGACTGTGTAGTGGCGGTGTGGACTGTGTAGTGGCGGTGTGGACTGTGTAGTGGCGGTGTGGACTGTGTAGTGGCGGTGTGGACTGTGTAGTGGCGGTGTGGACTGTGTAGTGGCGGTGTGGACTGTGTAGTGGCGGTGTGGACTGTGTAGTGGCGGTGTGGACTGTGTAGTGGCGGTGTGGACTGTGTAGTGGCGGTGTGGACTGTGTAGTGGAGGTGTGGACTGTGTAGTGGCGGTGTGGACTGTGTAGTGGCGGTGTGGACTGTGTAGTGGCGGTGTGGACTGTGTAGTGGCGGTGTGGACTGTGTAGTGGCGGTGTGGACCATGTAGTCTTATGGGTGTCGTAAGAAATGACACAAACTGAAGCATCTCAATATGCTGCTCCATATCCTGTTTCAATTATAGTTGTTATAAAAAACTGCAGTTGCCAACCTGCCTGCCAAGCACAGTAACTATTGCAAAATCCCTCCTATAAGGCAATCTTTGGAGGAGACCTGTGTTCAGCAGTGGACTTTTATAGGTTGTAATGGATGGATGAATTAATGGTGATCAGCAGGCCTATGCACTAACTTAATTGACATCTAAATAATAGAACTCCATAGTAGCTCCTAATACATAGTGACTATCATTCCAATGTCACCGGAGTTAGCGAATAAGCTTGCAGTTATTACCACCCTCTAATCCAACTTTATGCAGGTATTTTGTGAGTATGCATAATTAGTTAAAACTATTCTTTACTTTGAAATAAAACCAAGTTGAATTAAAATTGTTATTTTATTTTACAATACTATTATCTAATTGTTTATTACCTAATATTTAAAAACGATGCGATCGAATAGGATTTTGAGGATCAAACAACTTCGGGTCTTTTAGGAAGGTTTTATCTTTGTAGTAATAAGGCATGTATGCACAATTTTGAGCTTTTTTTATTTCAGCTTCCACTAAAGCTTGCTTATTTTTACAGAGGCCAGTTATATGCCTTCCATATATTCTGCCGGTGTATGGGCTTTGAAATTGTGACAATAGCCTGTAATTTTTGTAATCTGGGGTAATGTTTAGTTGACATAGGATACATTGGCGTCTTTCTTTTTTATAGGGATTCTCCATTTCAATTGGGGCATTGTTTTCGCTAGATTCTGTTGATGATGGTCTCATAGTTAATACTAAAATACGTCGTGTTGTTGAATCTGTAAAAATGAATTTTTGCTTACAAAATTGTTTTAACAAAACATATATAGGTCGTTCGAATTAAAAGACTTACATATATTTTTTGTGAAGAAAGTATTAAGAAGCGACATGGTTTAAATATTTTAATGACGTATTGAGTTTACTTTGAAAATAATTAACTTTTGTATTATAATGTATTTATTTACTACATAACCTCAAACACAGCCATAGACTCTATGGCCCACAGAATACTTTACTCCTAGCGGAGACTATGGCCACAGACTAGGGATGATCGATGATCATCGATGTCAAAAATGAAAACATCGATGTTTTAACAATTGACATCGATGTTGCCATATGTCAAACATCGTAACATCGATGTTAATAAACCCATAATCGAATATCAGGTACTTGCGAACACTGCGAACCCGCTAAATCAATATCAACTAAATCTTTCATCTCCTCTAAAATTTTTGAATAATTCAGAATGCTTGAACGCATCGATAACCTAAATATATATCATTATAGTGAATCAAATTTAACTATCAAGTGTCAACTGTAATGTCGCAGTTGTCACTGATTTCGTTTTATTATTGGTTGGTTGGTTGTGTGTTTCTTAGTCGGTTGTTTTTAAAAAAATCCGATGGTTGATCTTAAACACCATCCAATGCACGTTTAGAACAATGTTATTGATTCTACCTAATCTAAAATCTAATCTAAAATAAAAAATAAACTTGCGGTGAGATATTGGACCACAATCGCTACATCAACGCCATTTGAGCGGTTATCTACCGATTTCAAAAAGGACCACTAAAATGTTGAATATTTCTTGTTGCATATTAATGTATTTTAACAAAAACAAATATGATGGCACTTTATAATACTTTGTTTATTTATTTTAATATAACAGACATATGTCTTAATAATATTTTATACTTGAATGTAGAAAGAAAGAGGCGTTGAGCCTGCAATTGTGTTATCAAAAGTCAAGAAAACCATATGTTCTTCTTTTTAATGTTTGTTACCTCATAACTTTTTAGTGGGTGAACCGATTTCGATGATTATTTTTTTATTTAAAAGCTGGTGCTTCGTCATGTGGTCCAATATAAATTTGACCCATATAAGTCTGACCAATAGTTTTTGAGTTATCCTTAATAATTTATATTGAAGTCAGTTGTACAATTTTTTTATTTTTAAATTATTTTCAATAGCTAGCTCAACTATTTATCAACAGAAAAACAGATTGAAAGGTACTTCTTCGTCAAAATTACTATTTCTTCAATCAATCGGCAAAAATATTTGACTAAGTATATAACAAATGAACTAGATATTTGTGAACTTCTTTCAATTTTTTTAATTACTGTTTACACTACATTGTTTAGTAATTTATTTCATTTAAATAATTATAAACCATAAACAACATGACATGTTTTTATTCATCTAATTCTAAGCTATTAAATACATGTCCAAAAAACATCGATAATGGCCAACATCGTTGTTTTGAGTAGGATAAACATCGAACATCGATGTTGAGCTATCGATGTCATCATCGATGTTTCTACAACATCGACCATCCCTACCATAGACCACATTATTTTACTGCTGTCTTTACGGCTCTGGGTTCTAGTCCTTCTGAGCCTGAAGTTACAATGTATAATTGCGTCACATTGTGCAGTTCTTGGTAGATTTTAACGGCAACTTGAGCCAGCAAACAGCTGACAGTTGGCGATGCTATCTCTAGTCGCCTAAGCAGACAGACACCTTAATTTGAGAATCACATCACCATCAGAGCACCAGTTTCACCGTTTCCACTACACCGTTTACATGCACAAACATTTAATACACAAAAGTACTTAAATAACTTCGCCTCCAGGTCCTTCAAAAGAGTTATTGCCAAGGCAAAGTCAGAGCACATAGGCAGAATTGGCGAGAAACTAGTTCGCCTTCCTTCGGGAACCCGTGCATTCTGGTCTCTCGCCAAGGCTGTCCAAGGGAATTTCTGTAAGCCATCACTACCATCTCTGCACAGGGAGGATGACTCACTGGCCCATGACGCAAAAGACAAAGCCGACCTTTTAGGCTCCCTTTTTGCGTCCAACTCGACTCTTGATGACGGGGGGAAAACACCGCCGACCATCCCGCGGTGTGAGTGCTCCATGCCGGATGTGCTGTTCTCACAGCGCTCGGTTCGCAAAGCTCTGCTCTCCCTGGACATCCAGAAGTCGAGTGGGCCTGACGGAATCCCCCCAATTGTGCTGAGGACGTGTGCTCCGGAGTTGGCACCGGTCCTAACGCATCTTTTTCGGTACTCCTACTCCCAAGGCGTAGTCCCGAATTCATGGAAGACAGCTTTTGTCCACCCGATCCCTAAAAAAGGCGACCGCTCAGACCCATCCAACTATAGGCCTATCGCGATCACCTCCTTGTTCTCCAAAATAATGGAATCCATTATTAACTGCCAGCTCATCCGGTACCTTGAGGATCACCAGCTGATTAGTGACCGCCAATACGGTTTTCGTCGGAGTCGATCAGCTGGTGATCTTCTGGTCTACCTGACCCATAGATGGGCGGAGGCAGTAGAGTCCAAGGGGGAGGCGTTGGCCGTTAGTCTGGACATTGCGAAGGCCTTCGATCGGGTTTGGCACAAAGCGCTTCTTTCGAAGCTCCCTTCCTATGGGCTTCCCGAGAAATTGTGCAATTGGATCACCAGCTTCCTTGCAGATCGGAGCATCAAGGTTGTTGTAGACGGTGCATGCTCTGACTACAAGCCTATTAACGCTGGTGTTCCACAAGGCTGTGTGCTATCACCAACGCTGTTTCTTCTGCATATCATTGATACGTTGCTAACTGGTAACATTCATTGCTATGCGGATGACAGCACTGGTGATGCTCTATACACCGGCCGTGCCAATATTTCTCGGGAAAACGTCGCTGAGTACCGGAACAAACTTGTGTCTGAAGTCGAGTCTTTGCTGAACAAAGTCTCGGATTGGGGGCGACTAAATCTAGTCCAATTTAATCCTCAGAAGACACAAGTTTGCGCGTTTACCGCTAAAAAGAACCCCTTTGTCGTATCTCCTCAGTTTCAAGGTACTCCTCTTGTTGCCTCAGCTAGTATCGGAATCCTCGGCGTCGACATATCGAGTGACGTGCAGTTTCGTGGTCACTTGGAAGGGAAGGCCAAATTGGCCTCTAAAAAGCTTGGCTTGCTCAGCAGAGCGGGACAGTATTTCATGCCGGCACACCGCCTGCTACTTTACAAGGCGCAAGTTCGGCCTCACATGGAATACTGTTCCCATCTCTGGGCAGGGGCTCCCCAGTGCCAGCTCCTTCCACTTGACCGCATCCAACACAGAGCGGCTCGAATTGTCGACGACCGAGCCCTTTCCGATCGGCTCGATTCATTGGCACTGCGAAGAGATGTTGCATCCCTTTGCATTTTCTTTCGCATCTACCATGGGGAGTGCTCTGAGGAATTGTTCGGATTAATCCCAGCCGCCAAATTTCACGAACGCACATCGCGGCAGAACTCCCGATACCATCCACACCATCTGGATGATTGGCGGTCCACCACTGTGCGATTTAGAAGATGTTTTCTTCCTCGCACGACCTTCTTGTGGAATCGATTACCATCAGCGATTTTTCCGGACCGATACGACTTAGGGACCTTCAAGAAAAGAGCGTACTCCTTTTTAAAAGGCCGGCAACGCATCTGCGATTCCCCTGGTGTTGCAGTTGTTCATAGGCGGCGGTAGTCACTTACCATCAGGTGAGCCGCATGCACGTTTGCCCCCTCTCCTATAAAAAAAAAAGTGCACCACTTTTACATAACCAAATCCACTGCAAACCATTATTGCCTACGCAACACAGAAAAAAAGTACTGTTATAGAGTATATAGTTTTTCTGTGACCATATTGCATTATAATTCGTTTCTGATTCTCATTTACAAATATAAATTTTATTTATTACTAATTTTGTATTCTATATTTGTAATGGTATTTTACAAAACTACCAGGTTTGCTTTTAGTAAAAGTAAAGCAGCCACTATATTGTAACTTTTAAGAAACAAAATAAACCTTAAAAAGAGAATCATTAAAATTGAATCATTAAAACAAAAAAATATACACTCGAATTGAGAACCTCCTCCATTTTGAAGTCGGTTAAAAAACAACAATTGCACTTGAATTTGGAACAAAGCATGATAATGTTTTAACCTTCTTTGACGGCTCCGTGGTGCAATATCTTAGATTTGAACTGCCCCGTTGAAGGCTGTTGGTCAAATTCCGCACTGAACAATATTTGGACGACCTACAAATAACAGTTCCAGTTGTGGATGTTTGTCTAAGGAAAAATTCTATAGGTGTAAGGAAATAAAGAAGTCGAAATGAAAACGTCGTATTATTTGGTATAATATATTTGTCATTACAAAAATGTCAATGTTAGCAAAAATAATCACAGTCTGACACTTCTAATCTACACAACTAGTTTAGAATCTAGAATTTAGACATATTATAATTAATTGCCTTTATATAAATCTATGTTTATACATGCAACACCACGCTAAATTACAACGTTAATCTAAAACAAAGTCTAGTCTAGACTCCGCACAAAACCTAACTTACTGTACAACGTTATAACTACATTGGTGTCAATAGTTTGTAAAACATTGACTTCATTATCTTTTAAACTTATAATTATAAATGGAAATATTTAGTTAAATCGATTGTAATAATATTATAATAAACAAGATGGCGCTATTTTTCTTTTAAATGACAACTTGCTGTGTTTCATCACTGGCAACACTGAACTGCCAATTGCAAACGCAGTTCAGATTTAAATTTTATTTTTGAAACATTATTTTGCAAATTTTCGGGAACTAATTATTAAAACAAAATTATAATAAAATTTCGTAAAACAATGGAGAGAGATATAATTTTATAGAGTAGCATAATATATGACTTTAGTATTACTACTTTCCAATTATATACTTGTTGTAGTTTGTATAGTCTATGGCACCATCTTATTGTATGGTAACTTGTTATTCAGGTATCTCAAAGTCAATGTCTAAAGTTTACACCCTAAAACATGTCCCTACCAAGAAAGTATAAAATATATTTATGTTATTACAAAAATACCCTTTGAAAGCGTTGGACCAATCATAATTGCTAACATTCCCTACTAGCCACCTTACCGGACACTCTTACGAGAACCCTTTATTATTATAAATACAATACTAATATTTACACATGGACTAACAGTCATTTAGCTAAAAGTACTAAAGGGCTTAATTCCTTAACTAACCATGATCTCTGAAGCTATATTATAATAACGTATATAAATCGGGCGATATTTTCTTGTCAATTTATTTACTCGAATATGCAATAGATGCTTCATTTACTTATGTAACATGACAACAATTTTGATATTTTTGCCAACTTTATTTTCTTTTGAAATAGATTATACTGAATAGTGATCATGACGGTTTATGGAATTAAACCTCTTCTGTTCTTAGCGGTTTGAGCAATAAAAAGTTTGATATGCTTAGATAGAGTTTTGTTTGTCGAAATTGGACTTTGGGTTGCTTAGTACAAATCGGTTCAAGTAAACGTTTTATCGACTCATAAATTAAAAATTAAAGTTGATTAAAGTTATAATAAAATAAATTAAAGTAGTCAGCAGAAGAGAGCTTGAGAATTATATGTATGCAGATATAAGGTCAGTACCCAGCAACCCTTCGGATATTACATTACACTTTACATACGAAACGTATGTAGGCTTTTGTTTGCGTTATTTGCACAGTAAAAGAGAAGGAGCATCGGAAAATCTTATGTGTTTAGTTACGTCGTTAAGGTAACACCGACCTTCTGTTTTCTATAAAAAAACACATTAAATTTCCCGTCAGTTTATTATAGTATCGTTTTTTCAATAGAATGCTTTTAAGCTAATAATGAACTCCCCTTTGAAGAGTCAAGATTCAATCTTACTAGGCCCCCTCCTTTCACCCAGAGCGTGAGTTATCCACGCTTAAAACGCAGTATTGTGAGCGTTACAACAAGGAAGAGAGCGATCCAAGTCAACGTGGCCACGAAGCCCATGTACACGTCAGGATCCTCTATAGGCCAGCCTCGAGTAAGAACCGAACGTAGTGATGTGGTGGCGAGCGTTAAGGGTAGACACAGGGCGATGTATCGCAAAGCCCAAGGCATCCCCTCGATGGGCCAGATCACTCCACTCAGTAGTAATGTAGGGTAGAAAGAACCGAGCGCGAGTTGGATCGCGTTCCGTTCAAGTTCGCAAGCAGCCGATATCACGAAACCGAAGCACATCCCGCAGAGACCTGAGGTCACAATAATTTATATTTAGAACAAAAGAAGAAAAAGGCATTGCAGGGAATAGGAAATAAAGTCACAATTTGGAATTAGTCCCCTGTCTTAATTTTGATCACACCAGCTACTTCTAAATATATTATACTTTATCTTTAGAGTTTTACATATTTAACCTAGAATTATTTATCTGTATTTAAACCAAGATTGGTATCGGATGTAACGTTGAATATGATGATTTCGAAAGTAAGCTGAGATTACTTGTAACTTTGTGACCGTCAAAATCATGGAATAAGTTTTATTGTAACCTTATTCGCAAATTAGACAAAGACAAAAAATACAGTGTATCAAATAAATAATTGTTTTGTTTTAGATAATAAGTAGGTAAAGGTCGTATTACTTTAAGTTTTTTTTTAATAGAAAAATGGTGATAAACGAATACACAGTCCACCTGATGGTAAATGGTTGATGTGGTCCATTAATCCAGGATAGATGTGGATAGATCCACATCTATCCTGGATTAATAAACAATATGCAGGTACGTTGCAACCCCTGAGGACTAAGATCTAATGCCTCGTTTTCAGTAAAAAATGTCTCCGGTTCTCTACACTCACCATATAAAACACAGCAGCATTAAGCTGCTATTTTACGCTGGTGTTCTGTGAGAGCGTGATCCCACCCCGGTCGAGCCGACCCATTCCTGCTACAACCAAAATATAGCTGCAGCATGGCTCTACCATGTACAAGGTGCTTGCCTTAAATTTCTTAGTAATATAAGTATTCTAAGTTAATCCCTACCACCACGTGTTCAACAGTGAATGAAAATATCATGAGGAAACCTACATAATATCGAAAAGTATCTGCTCCATACGTATGTCAGAAATAAAGCCTGTGTCTAATAGATATATTAAGACTGCTATATATTATTTATAAGACTCCCATATATATTAAGACTGCTACTTTACCATTTTTAAAGGTAACGTAAAATAAAAAAGAATGATTAATTTATAAATACAGAAAAACTAATAATATATAATAGGTACCTTGCAACAATGTTAGCATGATGACGTAAACGATGTTTCCATTGCTCTTGACGCCGAATACCAAGATCATAAAGATGAGAACCAAGGCCGTCTGTCCGCACATTACAACAAACTGGGTCACTACGTGAGAGAATAGAATCTCTCCGGGAGAAACTCCAGCTACCCAGGATCTATCCAGAAGACCTTCCATTCTTTCCACGATTAAAGCCGATGATGTAAGTGCCACAGCCAAGAAGAACACGATTCTGAAAATAAAAAATAAAAATATAAGAACTACTACATAAGTACACTGCAAAATATGAATATGACTAAGCGAATTGAATAAGCGACAGCAGAGTTAAAGTTCTTGTAAGTTCGCAGTCGCAAGATTAATCTAATGGATATAGATTAAACAATTATAAGTTCAAATTAGCGTAGCATTAAATTCTAGGTCTGTGGTCAAATCCACCACTACTATCGTGAACGAGGTGGGCTTTCTTAACACAAGCATTTTTAGCTTACTTCGTGTGGTTAACGGCAACATTGGTGTGACGAGATCATTATGATGATGAAGAGACGTTACTTACGTTAAAATAACTCCAGGCGCAACGAAGTCTGTAAACGAGGGGTTGTTGTCACCGTATATTGGGTCCTTAAAGTCGATTGGTATGTCACCCACTTTCGGATTATAGTTGCATGTTTGAAGTAAGTCCTGCAATAGCAACAGTTCGGGTTTATTTTTATTAAGTTTCATGTGGCTTTGAGACATTTTTTTGTGTCGCATATCTAAAATATCATTACATGTCGAACAACTTTGATTTTTATAAACTTATTCTAAGCCAGTGCTTGACGACAATCCTACCTGGTGGTAAGTGGTGATGTAGCCTTATGTGGTAAATCGCACTAACTTAGCGTAACAAAAACCTATTTACTATTGCCTTAAAGACTACCATACCTAGAAGAAATCCAAATTTCTGCCAATAACTTTTCCAATTTTCTATAGAAATGTAGTTATGTGATTTTTTTAAATATGCTTAGCCTTCTGGTTACTAATGTCAAGTACAACCTGTATCTACTTAACGTCGTTGAAATGTAAGTGGCGTATTCGTGAGACCAAATGACAAAATTAATTTATAGTAATGAATGTAAAATTTGTAATAAATGGAGAGCTGTATTGGAATTATTGTCTAATTTTATTTGTTACACTATTAACAGGCTTATTAAAATTTCAATTATCATGTAAAAACTAAACTAAGTTCAGCGAAATTAAATCATGGGATATCTTTATCACCATTGGTTTCCATATTTTAAAATATTTCATAACCAGATATGATCCGTTGTATAACGCAAAGAACGTTCAAATAAAGTCATAAATGTTTCAGTTAATGCGACGTAAGTTACTGATAAAATAATTTGTAATGTAAGTGGCTATTAATGCACTTCGTATACATAATAGAACGAAACTTTTTCTGCATATGGGAACCGCATTTATGTCTCTTTTTCCAATATTTAGTTCGTAATATATACCTAGTAGATAAAATTTTTGTGAAAACTTACCTTAGCGAAATCTCGGTATGCGAATTGTATGTCCCTGTTGAGCATAAGTCCTATCTGTTGGTTGGACATATCTAACCACACTTGCACCTCGGACGACATGATCGTATCGTTGTCTGCCGTGTCCGCTGCGAGAAAAGGAATTTTTAAGTTTTTCGTATATTATCATAAATTAATATGTTCCAAACATGTTCTCAATTTGTGATTTAATCTATATGTTATCATAGCTACATCTGATCTGACCTTTTTATAATTTTCGTTGAATTGTAGATTTTACTAAGTTTCTACTGTATTTTTTTAATAAGTTGTTCTTTTAATTTTTATTACAACTTGCACTTTAACGGTCAAATTTGACGGACTTGCTTAATATTTAATAATAAAATTTATAAGTTTTTAAGATATTATTTGTTTCATACATCATGACAATAAGTTTTAAAAGAATCAGTATAATTTACAATAGTTTATAATAATTATATTTTAAGATACGGTGTTTAAAAGTCATTTATTATCAATTTAATCTCTATTACCTTTTGTCTGTAATCAGTTGGCAACCTTGATCAGAAAATACAAGCTTAAAATGAAGACTAATTTCTATCTAATTCAGATTTTTTTTATAGAATAAGGGTGACAAATGAGCACACAGTCCACCTTATGGTAAGTGAATGATGTAGCCCATAGACATCTACATCTATCCTCGGTTAAGAACCAAAATGCAGATGCTTAGTCACGCCTGAGGACTAACATAGAATGCCACTTTTACAGGTTGGCTACACTCACAATACGAAACACAGCATCATTAAGCTGCTATTTCACACTGGTATTCCGTGAGAGCGTGGTCGAGCCGACCCATTCGTGCTACAACCGTAATATAGCTGTAGCATGACTCTACCACGTATAAAGTATGTAGATATGTCCTTGATAGAAAATTAAACTCACCTAGAGCTAGTCTAGCAACAAGAGCATCCGTATAATTCTCGTTGAAATAAATTGCGCCCCAAGCATCGCCATCTCTCACCGCCTGTATGGCGGATTCCACGTCGAAGTAGTACTCCTTTATGATGGACTGGTTCTTTAGATGGTTCAGGTAACGACAAGATAGGTTCTTCATCGAACACGACGAGTTGAATGGACAGTAACTATCTAGGACGTTCACATCATCGTTGACAATCGCCTAGTAAAAAAAATTAAGATATTGAAATGATAAAGTAAAGTAGTTATAAACGCTTCATTGCTGGAAAAATCTGAGCCAAATCCATCAGAATTAACAAATTCTATTGTAATAAAACCTATTTAGTTAGGTGGTAGCATGGAACGTTAATTGTACACGTACGGTTAGCTAGCACTTAATCCATTTTATCGTTAAGGTTACCATTGTTTTCATCCACCATATCTACGCGTGTGATTATAGAAAAGGTTTTTATTATAATATAGGCATGATTTACAATGTGGCCAAAAAGATATCAGAATAAAACACATGTAAGGATTAAATCCTTAAAAACAATGAAATTACTAAAATGTTGACATCAATAATAAAATATAAAGAAGTTAAAGCAGTATATTTCACAGCGAACTTACAAGTCTAAGCCCAGTAGGGTCTCGTCCGATGGCTAAACAGAAGAGAATGACTTGCATGACGGGCAGCGCGAAAATAAACAGCATGACACCTATGTTCCGCCACATCCGCAGGAAGTTCTTTTGAATTAAGGCCTTGATTTTGCCCCGCGAGGTCCACTGTAAGACGAAAAGTTACTTATTAAAGTTTTATATACATTGCACAATTTGTAATCATTAAAAACGCAATGTTAAATTATTGTAAAACTAGCTGTACCAAAAGCCTGATGTTGCTAATAAATGCGAAAAAAATTTCAATGCACTAATTTTGAACAAATGAACATTTACATTTTGATTTTATATTATTTAACGAAACTCGTAGTTAAGAGGTACCTACCATCATTTTTTAAATTATTGTGGAACTACATCTAGAATTTGAAAAATAGCCTATAAATAAAGATTTTATAAAAGGAATTTCAAAAAGTAGGAGTACCTCAGGATTTACCGTTTGATTTGGAATGTATCAATAAGTGGCTTTTTTGTATAAAAAGGAAAAAAGTTATACTTACATTAAAACAATTGCCGCAATCCTCACATTCGGTGGTCACTACTTCAGTCACTTTGCCAGGGAGCTGCAATCAAAGGTGAAAAATATGATTCAATAAATGAATATTTTACTACTATATCATTATAAATATGTTGATATTATAGAAGTAATATAAATAGGCTTTTGTGTGGATACAATCGGTTACATCGTGAAATAGCTTACTATTAATATTTTTTTTTAATTTTTGGTTTGCTTCGTCCTTCATTAAGCGCGTATAGAAAAAGTTAAAGTTTTAAAGTTACAGCCTACATACGTCCCACTGCTGGGCACAGGCTTTATTTTGAAAGGGTTTTAGGGCAGGGATATGTCCGCTGCGCTGCCCCAATCCGTGTTGGCAAACTTCACATGTCTTCGAAATATTTTTCTTATTTTTCAGACTCAGACAGATTGTAGTGTTCTTTACATTTAAGATAGTGAAAGACCATAAATTTTATAAATATTTGGTTTTTCCAAAAAAAAAAAATCATATAAAATATAGCTTAAATGACACATGGCATTGCTGACTATCTATTCGTGAGGTTTCATTACAATCTGTACAGACAATCCAAAGATTAGTCCGGACGGACAGACGGACAAAAGATAGACAGAGAGACAAAAATTTATAAAATGATTATTCATGTCTTAATGACATGCAAATAACACCATAACCCTTTTATTAATAAATAACTTTATAACTCTAATAATCTATAATATAAAAATGAATCGCTGAATGTGTTGCTAAGCGCAAATCTCGAGCACATAGCTGAAGCGATTTCGCGAATTCTTTTTTTATAATATTCCTTGAAGTACGAAGATGGTTCTTACGAAAAGAAAAATTAAAAAAAAATGCCTGAAAAAGTATAAAAACAACACTTTTCTATATTCCCATACAAAATATTCGTAATAATACTTAAAACTCAATTTTAACTTTATAATACCATACCATAAAGTTTAAGTGTTAGTGGAGGGGTTCCAGGAAGGCAAAAAAATGGCAGAGTAACTTGGGCTGCTTTTATTTTAGGGTACCGCGAAAAATAACTCCACGCCGGTGAAGTCGCGGGGAACAGCTGGTTATTAATAAATAACTCTAATAATTAATGTGAGGTAGTTATTTTGGTGTTATAGACAGACACTTCAATTTAAATTAAATTAAAAAAATTTAAATGATATTATTTATATTTCAATATCACATTGTGGTTTGGTATTCAATAACTCCACACATCAATTTAATCACACTTTAGCACAAATAAAAATTTACTCACATCGCCGTTAGAGCCAGCTCCGTTGTCAATGATAAGGACTTCCTTGCTCTGGTGGAAGTTTAGACCCACCACGTGCGTGTCCTCGGCTGCGTAAGGTGCTTCCTCTCTCTTCGACATCTTGTTCAGCCCCAAGCCTCCGCCTGAAACGTTGAGCTCCACCACTTGGTTGGCTTGACCTGTTGGAGAAAGTAATATCGTTGCAATACTTTCGCTACTCTAATGCGAGGTGGAAATTACTCCACAACTGTGTTATATTTTTTTTATGATGATTATTAGATATTTTACAACCTAAAATATCAAGGCCCTTATACTATATATATACCTTATACTATCATACGTTAAATGTGATAGTATATTACCTTATACTATCACATTTAACGTATTCTCAGCCCGCGAGTAACAAACATCGTGAACTTACCGGATGTTGAAAATACAGTTGACATTTTCATTTGTAAAAAGAATATGTATGAATTTATTTACGAAAATTATCTCAGAATAAGATCCCAAACAGTGCATTCTAATACCTATATTATATACAGTGTTACTTTTCAAAGAGTAGCCTTATTTTAAACTTAAGTTCAAATGTATAAATAATGATATACCGTTATTGCAGTTTTTGAAAATACGAGCAAATAAGGCTTCTCCTTTTATTTGCAATTATCTCAAGTTGAATTTGATTTATGGGCAATAAAGTTTTTGGTTACCAATTGACTAAAGTAAAATCAATTAAAATAATGCATTACCACGCATTTTAAAAATAAAAGATAAAAAGGAGAAAATGTTTCAGATTTTTTTTTAATTAATTTTTCTTCACCATTTGCCTATATTACTTATTTTGAACCTTCTCTAAAAATTTGGCCGGTTATTGCAAAATAAATCCTGTATATTTTTTATCTATCTATAAACTTCTCTTTTTTTCTGGAAAGGAAGTCTACTCTAAAAATCTGTTTTTTTTTTAAAAAAACGTCGCTTCACCGTCCCAAAAAGGTAAGTTAAATTTGTAAAATTGAATATAAAAGGTGACTTTAGGGTAACCCAGCGTACAAAAAATAATTTTTAACAAAAATTAAAAACAAACTAAAATTTCACATTCTAAGAGATAGTATATTGAAGAATTAAAGGTCTTACTTCAGAATATTTATTTATTAAATAGATTATACATACTTCAGGGGTAGTCCGAAAAGAAAACATTTCAGCGCTAATGGTGCATAAATGGTGGATGAACATTGAGTTATATGTATTACGTAAAGAAGCTATTCCAAACAAAAATTGTGCGCTACTCTATGTCTTCTGTCTACGCGGGAGATAGTAGAGTCGCGTATCCGCGAAGACTTTAATATAAAATAAGATATGAATATAAAATAAATATAAGAATTTCATATAAAATACTCTTATTTTAATCTAAACAAACATATATCTAATTAAAATATAAAAATAATTATCTTATGCAATTCACAAATCTTCAATTTACGCAATATTTAGTTTAGTGTACGGATTGCAGTATAGTTCAGTTTAATACATAACATAGTCAATGTTCGGAATGCGAAATCTAGTGCGTAGTACATAAATATATATCGATGATTGGAACGAAGTTCTTTATCGGACTGTTCGAATTTGGCGGATGGGGGCTGGGCGACAAAAAGTGAAAGATTTTTCCGTCACGACCCCTTCTGACGTAGTGTAGACGGTATAAGGAAACGAGATGGAATGATATCCATCCCTCGCACTTTTTATTATCTTGCCATGATAGAATATTATTTTATTTTAAATGACGCCTAATTTCAATAGATGCTAGTAATTCATTTATTTATATTTGTTGATCAATAACATAATACGTTAATCAATAATAATATACTACGAAAGGATCTTCGTTCCAAGCGAGTGTTCCACGACACTCACGCATGTTTTTTTTTTAATTCTTTTTAGTTATATATTTGAAGTCAGCTTTTGTTTTTTGTTAAAAGTTATTTTTTTACCATTTTGAATGGACTAAGGTATATCACAACCTCATTGTCGTTTAAAAGGTTACATTAGCAACATTATCCCCTATGTTGCCACCTTTTGGAGTGGATTTTTTTTGGGAGCTCAAAATCGAACAGGAAGACAAAAAATATAGATATCTTAAAACACAACGATTTTGACACTAACTGGAAATTGTAGTTTTAGATTTTGAGTGTATTATTACGACACATTAAAATAAAACATTTACCTTCGCAACTCATATTATCTGGAAGTAATAAAAATGAATAATTATTTCATGACAAGTGAGGTCGTATGTTTAAATATGAAATTACATATGCATATAAAATATGAAGAAAATAATCACGTCTGAAGAAATAATAATACAATCGTTTTTATCATTTTGAAGAAGTTCTCCTTGAGAAAATTGTATGCGGCGACATTTCAAGGTTGCCAATTTGCCAGCTGTCTTCTGCTTGGGGTTATATTGTTTGTGAAAATGTACAAACATGCATACGTTTGGGCAAATTTAAGTCATCATTTATCTACTCGAGTGAGTTAATCTGACGTCGGAAACTCAGTATCATTATCATCAGCTTATATAATCCCTATCTTGGCGATATTACGTGGCAAACTTGCAAGTAGCTTTATTTTCGAGATAATTTAGTGTTGCCAGGAGAGAAGTGTTATTAAAAAAATGTAGGAGCACTTGTAGTCCACGTAACGGTATTTGAAAACTACAGATGCTTTGTCCATCCATTACAGCCTATAAAAACCCACTGCTGAACATAGCCCTCCCCCACAGATTGCCTCATAGGGGAATATTTGTCATAGTTCACCTTTCAGTGGGTCATGTACTCCTGGTATATTATCTTCTATACATCCTTCCATTACAGCCTTTAGAAATCCACTGCTGAACATAGACCCCCCATAGATTGCCTCATATGGGGATATTTGCCATAGTTCACCTCTCAGTGGGTCATGTACTCCTGGTACGAGTATATTATCTTCTATACATCCATCCATTACAGCCTATAGAAGTCCATTACTGAACATAGGCCTCCCCCATAGATTGCCTCATAAGTGGATATTTGCCTTAATTGCCAAGCTAATTTTGCCGTAATTACGAAACTTGGCAAACGGATTTTTATAATTTTGAGTAGTTATCAGGAAGATGCTGCTACTCGAAGCTCGAAGTCCCATCCAAAACCACAATTTATCGCTTGTTTGCTGAATTTCAACGTGGACGTGTCAAGCTCAGTGATGATCCCCGTCAAGGTCGTCCAAAAACTGCAGTCACCCAAGAAAACGTAGATGCTGTGCGTAAGCTGATTGAGGAAGATCGACATGTGACATACCATGAAATTCAGGCAACTTTAGCCATTGGCATGAGTCAAATACAAATAGTCTTGCATGAACAATTAGGTGTAAAAAAGTTGTTTTCCCGATGGATACCGCATTTGCTCTGTAAAGTGCAAAAAGCGGCTCGCGTTACTTGGTGCGTCAGAACTCTCGAAAGATTCCACGTAGGATCCTCAAATGCTGTATACAACATCGTATCAGGTGATGAATCCTGGATATACGCGTACGAACCCGAAACAAAAAACCAGTCACGAGTTTGGGTGTTCGAAAATGAGTTAAAGCCAACAAAAATTGTTCGTTCACGGAGTGTTGCAAAAAAAATGGTGGCCACGTTTGTCTCCAAAACCGGCCATGTTACGACTCTTGAGGGACAAAGAACTGTTAATGCAGAATGGTATGCTAGCATTTGTTTGCCACAGGTCGTTTCTGAACTCCGTAAAGAGAACTGCAACCGCCGCTCCATCACGACAATGCGAGTTCTCACATCGCACACAGAACAAAAGAGAACAGAGTTTTTAGAGCAAGAAAACATAGAATTATTAGACCATCCGCCGTACAGCCCCGACCTAAGCCCTAATGATTTCTATACTTTCCCTAAAATAAAGAATAAATTGCGTGGACAGAGATTTTCATCACCTGAAGAAGCTGTGGAGGCCATTTTGGAGAACCCAACTTCCGAATGAAATGGTTGCTTCAATGATTGTTTCCATCGTAAGGAAAAATGTGTCAAATTTCGCAGAGATTACTTCGAAAAGCAATAAATACATTTTTAAATAGTAATGTTGTGTCACTTCCTTGATTCCCGAAATTTTCAGTGTAATCCTATGTCTGAGATAATACATTTTTTGTCTTAAGTCCGTCCTATCTTGTTTTGTTGGTCTGTGCAATTCCGCGTCTCAGTAAACTCGGTAATCTTTTCGCAGTCGCCATATAAGTAGGTATTTATATTGTAAAAAGAAAGTTATTATGACCAACACTTAAACATAATTTTGTACCTAAGATTGACACATGAGGTGACAGTCCACTGATATTAAGTGGATGATGTGATGAAAGAAAGAAAAAATATTACTTATAATGTATTGCATATTATAGGTAATATATTTTTGCCGAACGACGGCTTCCGATCTTGTGCGATGTAATTTTATGTACGATGCATAATTATAAAAATATGATTTACGTCATGTTTAACCTTATGATAGCGCGTTTTTACTCACAGAAATACAATAAAACGTGAAATGAAAAAAGTGTCTATGATTTCACGTTTTAATTCTCTGACATTTTCTATTTGTTGTTTTAAGTTATGATGATGGCAGAATTTGAAATGGCATTGCTAGTTGCCAAACTAAAAAAAAAGTTTTGAAAACCGTTAACCTGTTAATACTTAGTGTGTATACTCTGACTGTTAACTAAAACCTCAGAGAGACTGAGAGACTAATACGTAGTGATTGTATTCGCTTTCACTGTTAATAACCGGGTTGCCAACCGCAGTTTTTTTAATTTTTTTTTATTGTTATTAAGAAGACGCTGCTGCCCATCTCCCGGTTTGTTTTTCTCTGTCACCTCTTAGGACAATCACGGGACGATACTATGAGGTGGTGGATATTCTTACATATAACCACTACTTACACCACAATGTAGTTCCACGGACCCATATAAATCTCTCGGAGATTTTTTTTTAAATCTTTATTTTATTTCTAGTTAGAAATACATAAAATGGCGGAGTGAGTATAGAAATATGGTAATAATCAACAATTATAAATGCAAACCGATTCAAATTTCTTATTTCCCCACCGTCGTTTAGGTGTGATTAAAAAGTTATGATACATTAAAAAAAAACAATACATGAGAGTTTCTCTACGGTTTATTATTGTACTATAGAGAACTCATTTTTTTTTAATACGACCTTCTATATTGTGTTTAGGTCTTTGCGTCTATTACGCCTTGTCTTAACGCTTCTCGTTAAGAAAGGAGTTGAGAGAATTTCTTTGTGCGTTCGATGTTACTTAGGTTTAATTTGAAATTAGGTTGATATAGGTCTTTCACACTTACCTCTAAAATATAAATACGTTAGATTCAACGAATTTTTGGAAAGTAAAATAATTTTATGAACTTATAAACTGATAATAAATTGGTTTATGCATATCTACGTGGTAGAGTCACGCTGCAGGTATGTTATGGTTGTGGCACGAATGTGTCGGTTCGACCGGGAAAGGACTACGCTCTTACAGAATACCAGCGTAAAATAGCAGCTTAATGCCGCTGTGTTTTGTATGGTGAGTGTAGAGAACCAGAGACCCTTGTTACTGGAAACGCGGCATTCCATCTTAGTCCTCAGGGGTGACAACGCATCTGCATTTTTGATTCTATATCGTGAATAAATGTAGATATCTATGGGCCACAGCATTCACTTACCATCAAGTGGACTTTGTGGTCGTTTTTCACTCTTATTCGTTAAAAAAAACAACTAAAATATTAATATTAATAAATTATTAAATGATTTAAGACTACGGCGAAAGAACACATCGTAAGGCAACCTGTGGTCTATGAAATTCAATATATCCAGGACATGTGAGGTCCATCTTATGTGCATTAGAGCAACGCAGGGAACTGATCTCTCCATAACCTGCTCAGAAATGAGAGGAGGCCTGTGCCCAGCAGTGGGACATATAAAGGCTATCTTCACTTTACATTTTTATGCATGACTTACCCTGCTTTCTAGAGAGTTTGAGGAAGACATCTTCGAGGGAGATGCAGCTGTACATCGTGAGGAGAGCTTGCGGTGACTCCTCGGCGAGCAGTCTACCGCTTCGCATTAGTCCGATCTGAAAATAAACACGGGTAATTTTTTTTTAAATTCATTTTTTCATTTTAGACAGGACATAAAGACAGCTTCTGCTTAGTTGGTTTTCAGTTATTTTTGGAGTTTATTACTTAAGAATCGTTTCATGTATAGCGCACGGTGTGAAAAATAGATGGATAGTAAAATCAAGCGCTAACAAACAGTGAAGCCGTTTAGTTTTCCTCTGCCCAATATACTCGCTCATCTCATGTATATAATGTGCGGAATGTATATAATGTTATATAAGACTAGCTGTTCCCCGCAACTGATTTGATAAAATATGTTAAATACATTATATTAAATAAAATAATATATCTAAACAAATAAATAAAATTGAAGTGTCTGTTTATAATGTCGAAATAACAGCTTTTTACTATATATATATATATATATGAAAGTATATACGGTACTTCTAACAAAAACACGATTTTTAAATTTTTTGTCTGTCTGTCTTTCTGTGTGTCTGTTTGTTCCGGCTAATCTCCGAAACGGCTGGACCGATTTTGACGGGCCTTTCACTGGCAGATAGCTGATATTATAAGGAGTAACTTATTGTAGAAAAAGTATTAGACTATATTACGATTGGATTTCATGTGTTTTTTTTTGGCGGAACCCTAATTAATTTTTTTAAATAAAAGTAGCCTAAGTTAATCCTTATAATATCAGCTATCTGCCAGTGAAATTACGGGCGAAATTAGTTCAGCCGTTTAATAGATTAGACGGAACAAATGGATAGACAGACAGACACAAATTTAAAATATTGTTTTTTTTTTCTAAGTACCGTATATACTCTCATATGCATTTAATTAAAAGCTGTTATTTTGAAATTATAAACAGACACCTCAATTTTATTTATTTATGTAGATGATAACGCAGTGATTCCCACCAGAGTTACACCATCGCACTGCTGTACGTTTTGTGCTGTGGTTCTCCTCATGTACGTCACTTACTTCTAATTTACCTCTGATCTCACCGCACAAGCGTTCAAAGCCGACGAAACTTTTTATCCAAATAAAACTTGTTTAAAGCTCTTATTAACGTCGAAATCTACACCGGTTCGCAAAAATGAGACTTTGTCAGAGAAGAACCGGTAAGAAATTTTGAGGTAAACATGTGTCATTCATTCATTTCTAGTGACCCGATCATTCGACCGACCGGGTCATTCGGGTTGATCATTTCATCATCGATCATTCGAGTTTCAGTACTCTGAGATTAGTGGAACCCACTCGATGAAGTCGGTTGTCGAACATTATTATACTCTTTGGTAGTAGATCCTGTCAATCGCTTGATCCGGAACATTAAAAAAATGTAATTGCAATAATCAATACTTTGATGCGACCTGGGTGGAATGAACGAATCGGTCACTATTGACACATGTCCACTCTGGGATTACCTGACAAACAAGTAGGTAAAGACTTGAAAGCATTTTTGTGTATGTACGTTTGTGACCTTGTAAACAGTCGTGAGCTATTGATAATTTATAACATAAGGATATTCTCTGCCTTCACGCCTGCTACCCAGGAAGTAAGGCAGAGACTACGGATTTCCATTTGGCACGATCTTGACACACATCTCTCGATTCTTTCACTTCCTGTCAATGTACACGTTCTCGAAGGTAATGGGCATTCTTAATTTGGCCAGTTTGGTTGATAAACTTTCGTTTAGGGTGTTTAATTTGCTTATTTCATCATTCCTTATTCCTAATTATTTCTACGTGTCTAAACCACCGAAGCATAGACATTTTTTAACACCTCCTTGCAAACTTTTTACTTATCACACTAATTCTCACCCAATCATTTAGAGTCACAACTAATATGGTTCTTAGTGACCACTATAAAACTTATTATAGTTTCCACAGATAATAATTTACGATTTAAATATTGAACCACAGATAATAATATACGATTTAAATTTTTAAGCAGAGCTAAAGACCTTTTTTTTAAAAATGGACAAATGTTAAATTACAGAACCCTGAACTGCCGTGTGGTGGTGGTGTGAAGAATCCATCTCCCCATTTCATCCAGTGGGTGTCGTAACAGGGGACTATGGGAATAAACAGAATAATGGCTTTCTATAGATTGCGGTATAGCCAGGTTGTCACTCACATTCTATAAAATAAAATATATTTGATAGAATGTGAGTGACAAGCGAGCACACAATCCCCCTGATGGTAAGTGGATGCTGTGGCCCATAGACATCTACACCTCTATTTAATTAAGAATCAAAATGCAGATGCGTTGTTCCACCTGAGGACTAAGATAGAATGTATCGTTTCCAGTAAAAAGGGTCTCCGGTTCTCTACACTCACCATACGAAACACTGCAGCATCATGCTGCTATTTTACGCTGGTATTTTGTGAGAGCGTGGTCCCATTCGTGCTACAACCATAATATAGCTGCAGCATGGCTCTAACACGTGTGTATTATAGATTAATAGTGCGATTGTGTAACGCCGACGGGAAACATGGTTGAATTCGTTTTGATTTTTCGTTTCGGTGTATTATGTAAATGTATCACAAATAGTTCTGCGATTTTCTATACGCCTACCAAGAGTGACGATAAAGGATCATCCTCCCTATAATACGAGAGGTCATCCAACTGTGGACTTTTTTAATGCTACAGAAGTAGAACTAAAAGAAATAACTAAACTCGACAGGTATTTATGTTAAGCGTTGTTTTGGTTAAGCGATTTTCCTTGTATTAGTATCCGTGTTTACATAGTTTTTTTTTACGTAGTAGAGCTATGCTGCAGCTATATTACTGGTATAGTTGTAGCACGAATGGGTCGGCTCGACCGGGGAAGGACCACGCTCTCACAGAATATTAGCGTAAAATAGCAGTTTTACGCCGTTGTGTTTCGTATGGTGAGTGTAGAGAACCGGTGACACTTTTGATTGGAAACGTGGCATTCCATCTTAGTCCTCACGGCTGACAACGCATCTGAATTTCGATTCGTAGCCGAGATGTAGATGTCTATGGGCCACATCAACCACTTACCATCAGGTGGACTGTGTGCTCGTTTGTCACCATTATCCTATAAAAAATAGTCGTTTTACATATAATCCGGCTGATTTAAAAATTATGTGTGACTTTAATTCATCCGAGTAGAATTAAGTATTTGTGCCATTTGCTGTAGAGACTATCGGTTTTTAGGATCCACGTGTGGTGAAGTTCATAAAGTAACTGTATCCGTGACTGGTTGTCGCTGCTGGTTAAAGAGTGCTGGAATTTTGATTTTCTCCTGTATCGTGGAGGCAGTTTATAAACATAAATTGCACAAGGACAAACATCCAGACCCGGAACAATTATTTGTAGGCCATACAAATACTTGTACCGTGGGGGATTCGAACCCGGGGCCTGAGCGTCGTAACGCAATGCAAACTTTATTCGATATTTACTCGATAAAGGCCATTTAGCGAGGAAACAGAGCCAGCGTTCTTGGCACTATATCGCCGGGAGCAGGACTGTATGATAATTTAAGTATTTAGTTTTTTTAGTATGGTAATAAGTATTAATATATTTGAATGTGATGTGAATAAATTTAATATTACGTAAGAATAAAGTTGTTTGTTAACTTTTACGTGTGTAAATAACACGTGATTTCATTTATTAGCATGATTTCGTCAAAAGCCATTTATAAAATCAGAGTGAGTGTGAATCGCTATTAGAACGTTTTGGTTCCGTATTATGTATTTAATTACTCACGTTAATTACAGATTGTTACTACGATGGAGCTTAACACGCAAGCCCGTGCTGAGGCAGCCTGATTCCGTTTACTTTAAAAAAATTGTTAGTAATATAATAAAAACAAAAACATACTTTATTAGACTCAAATAAAAATTATACACAGGATCCGATTGAGCTCTAGCTCCTGAACTGTTTTGTTCCTCCTCCTCCTGTATTGTTCCTTTAAAATATAAGTTATTTATGTTGAAAGCAGATCTCTAATTCATTAATTAAAACCGAACACCATAAGTTTAATTAAATACTAAAAATATTTTTAAGAGTTTATATTCTCGTTTTTTACCAATGGTTTTAGTTATATGATATTTAAATCGTTGATTGTACAACACGTTTCGTACTATCTTGAAAATATTTGTTAGAAGTCAAAGGTAAAAGTAAAATACAGCCTATAAATGTTCCACTCTCAGATCATAATTTTCTGTTCTATAATCTAAGGTTTCATTGGGCGCAGGCTTCTACTTATTCCTTATAGTATTGTAACGAAACGGAAAAGAGTCCACTCTGACGCTTCGGTGTGGATAAGCGAACTTCACATAACTTCGAAATACATACTTTTTTTATAAACACAATTTTTTTTTCTTTTGTGGAAGCGTTTAAAATACATAAATGGGACAAAGACAAAAATCCCAGACTTTATTTGGCCATTTAAGCAATTGTAACGCGTGGGATTCGAATACGTGGCCTCACGGCGCCCACGCTAAGCTATTAAGGAGTCGCCAATTAATACAGTATGGTGCTAATTTAGTCTACAGGAGGTTACACACGGCCAAATGCCTAGACTTTGCACAACCGAGATCCTGTCCCGTCATTTACACAAAGAATCCTAATCCATTAAATATCCGCTAAACCATATCATCCCGTGGGTATCGTGGGAGTGGGAGGCGACATAGGGAAACAAACCAAGAGATGGGTAGCAGCATCTAAATAACAAACAAAATTACAAAAAGTGCGGTGCGTAGAAACAGTAGCAAATATCCACCCTATGAGGCAATCCTTAGGAAAGGCTTATGTTCAACTGTGGACTTGTGAAGATTAATGATGAAATGGAAAATATTTTTCTTTTTAAATCTGTTATGAAATGCAATGTGTTAAAGGAAAGAAGCCTGCTACTTACACAATGCGCCTGTCGAGCCTCTTCAATGTAATGGGTGGTGATGATGACAGTCTTGTCTCCGGAGCTGGTGATCTGCACGAGGTGGGTCCAGATGGACTGGCGCAGCAGAGGGTCCACTCCGACGGTGGGTTCGTCGAGGATTAGGAGCTCAGGGTCGTGCATTAGGGCCACGGCGAAGGAAACACGACGCTGTTGCCCACCACTAATGAAGGGAAAAATACTTTAAATAAATCCCAGACAATGTTTTAATACTCGTATTAACGAATCCATCAATGAAAATAATTCGTAAGAATTAGGTGATTGAACTTCTTTAATAATTCATATAAATAACTGTACAATATTATTTTACAAATTGAAAACAATCCCGCTGGATTTATTGCTAGTTCTTTCCAGGACACAGGTGTATTTTTTGTCCCAGTAGTAAAAGCTAAATGACTTAATAAAAAAAAACAATAGTGACAAACCAACTGATGGAATTATTATCAGATTTTACGTCATTTTTATTATTGTAAAGCCGCACTTAGACGACACTGGCCTCTATTTTACGAGAAAACCTAGTTTGAAGATTTATCTTATTCTTTTTCCTATAGTACACAGTAATTTAAGCCTTACTTTTTGCGTAATAAATGAAAACAACTATCTAGTATACAAAATAAATTTTTGTTTGTTCGTATTTTATGCACAGCTGCTTCGTCAGATTGCGGTAAAACTTTGTCAACTTATCGCTTGCACTTACGCGAAGGCTTTTTTTTTTATAGGATCGAGTGACAAACGAGCACACAGTCCACCTGATGGTAAGTGGTTGCTGTGGCCCATAGACATCTACATCTATCCTCGTTTGCGAATCAAAATGCAGATGCATTGTCACCCGTGAGGACTAAGATGGAATGCCTCTCATCCACTAAAAAGAGTCTCCGGTTCTCTACACTCACCATACGAAACACAGCAGTGTTAAACTGCTATTTCACGCTGGTATTCTGTGAGAGCGTGGTCCTTCCCCGGTCGAGCCGACCCATTCGTGCTAAAACTATATTACTGATATAGCTGCAGCATGGCTCTACAACGTACAAAAGGCTATAGGCATAGTACAATAAACTTGCAGTAGGTGGCGCGCGTATCGCACTGACAAATATATTTGCAAGTTATATATCATTCAACTTCAATGAATGTAATATTATTCCTAATTCTAAACTGTATTCTTGTATTCTAAATTCTATATAATAATTCTATATAATTCTATATAAATAATTCAAATATAACATGTATTCTAAATTCAAAAATTCCTAAACTGTATAACTGTTCCAAATTTAAAACGATATTTCCACAATTATTTCTTTTGCGGCAGCAGTGCGCTGGGTACCAGCTAGTTTAATATAAATATTTTTTTTTATTTAAATAGGTTAAGAGTTAAGTATATATTTTTTTATTTTTATTGAAATACCACTAATGTATCGTTCCCCTCTACTTCCACTTCTGCTTTCTTTGTTTGAAGTTGATTGCAGGTATCCATAGACTGCAGTAGTCACTTATCATTGCGTGAACTGTAAGTTTATTTGTCACTTCAGTTTATAAAAAAATGCCGAAGGGTACTAAGGTGTTTATTGTCCTGAACAATTCAGTCTCCTCGTCACCTCTATCGTAATAACTCGGTTGTGAATAAGAAAATATCTCTCGTGATATTACTGACGTAACCAACTCTAAGATCGACATAATAAAATAACGTATTAAATAATGTAGTGTAGTAATATGTATCGTAACACCACATTATAAACTTTCGCTGTGCGATTACACCGCATCCGATATGCGACTATAAAGCAATAGAAATTGAGCGAAGTTAAAAGTGAAAATCGTCTGAAAGTGCTGACTCATATAGTTTTGTAACATTTGCATGACTGGTAATTCACGAAACCCGAACACTATCGTGTAGCACACAAGTTATTAAATATAGTTTATGTATGTAACGATATTGTCTCCTCTTTTCATTAATTTCCCATTCAAAAGTTGTTGTAATGGATTCGATATTTGAAAGTCCAAATTTCAACGAATTTGCAATCTATCATACTCCATAAACTTATACCATTATTAAAAAGAAGTTTGTGCTTTTATTCGTGGATTAGTTTTTTCTTATTTTGTCTCTTATATCGTCTGCTCAAAAATTGTATCCTGGTTTTGTTCCTTTAATTTTAATTTTAGTTATTATTATTCCTTTTCCGTACTGCTTGTAGCTTGTTGGCGAAATTAATATATCATGGAAATCGCCTAGGACTCTCTTCTGACCTTACAGGCTGGACAGACAAGTAAGACTATCAAAAGAGAACCTGTTGCTGTAGCAGTGTAACTAATGCCTTGTTATAAGTAGCGGCACGAAAGTCTAGCAGTGACCGTTAATGCGTGTAAGTCGCGCTGATTGGCTTATTGAGCATAAGTCGCGCTGATTGGCTCGTGCGTATCGTTCGAACGCGCTGATTGGCTCTCCAATTGCATTCGTGCGCCTCCCCTCCAAGTTTCGCTCAGGGATAGACTTACGTGCCGCAACTTGTACAAATACGTAATATCAGTAATATGCTGCTAAATTACGGTGATATTTTATGCGAGCGTGTCTTCTTCGGTCGAGATGACCATAATAAATCTGCCGGGTTGCTTTACCACGCAATACACGACAGGACATTATAACTAACAGCTGATTATGTTTTCTTAGTCATAGATTACATCATTCATCTAGTTTGTTTCAATTTTAATGTGTAAATTGTATTCATAATAGAATAATAGCTCTCTCTGAATCTCTTGTATTAAAACAATGAATTGCTAGATTAACAAAACAAGTCCAGTGTTTGTAAATAAGACTAGAATTAGTAACAATAAGTAGAAATATTATTAATAAGCATCTATTGTTTATAATATAAATATAGAATCTTGACCGTCTTGAACACAGACGTAGACTGGTCCCTCAGTATTCTACGTGATACATTTTAGAGTGTTTGTAAGAATAACTTGAAGACATGATAAATCCCTTTATGTATTCAACAACCAAACATTTTATCTCTACGTGTTTGTTGTTGATTTTTTGGATTGGTTGAGATTACATTCAGTGATTTAAGTTGAGAAGGTGGGAAACAATGTGCAACCTGATAAGCGGATGCCAAAGAAATATATTAATTTTAATACATCTTCAATATTTTACTTTATAAACATAACACCATTTGAATACCAGCGTGAAATGTAGCTTAATGCTGCTGTGTTTCGTATGGTGAGTGTAGAGAACCGGAGAACCTTTTTACTGGAAGCGAGGCATTCCATCTTAATCTTGTCTCACGGGTGACAAAGCATCTGCATTTTGATCCGTAATCGAGTATAGATGTAGATGTCTATGGACCGCAGTAACCACTTACCATCAGGTGGACTGTGCGCTCGCTTGTCACCCTTATCCAATAAAAACAACAACATAATTTTATGAATAATTCAAGTATTTCATTATCATACATAATTCAATTTCAGTTATCACAAAAGTTATTTGTTGTATATTCTCTTGATATGTCTCAATACTAATACAAGAAATTAATGATACGCATGATATATTTCGCTTGTACGTAAAAAGGATGATAGATGCGGTATATAGGTATTATACGTGGTAGAGTCATGCTGCAGCTATATATGTAGTATAGTTGTAGCACGAATGGGTCGGCTCGACCGGGGAAGGACCACGCTCTCATAGAATACCAGCGTAAAATAGCAGCTTAATGCTGCTGTGTTTCGTATAGTGAGTGTAGAGTACCGGAGATCCTTTTTACTGGAAAAGAGGCATTCTATCTTAGTCCTAACGGGTGACAACGTATCTGCATTTTGATTCTTTATCGAGGATAGATGTAGGTGTCTATGGGTCACAGAAACCACTTATCATCAGGTGGACTGTGTGCTCGTTTGTCATCCATATCTTATAAAAAAGACCCTTTAAAAAGGAAACAATTATGAGATTCCGTAAAGAATATTTAGCAATAAAGCTTTAAAGCAAGCTAATAAACAATTTACAAAAGCGACGGTAGACTGTTGGTTAAGGGTACGAACTGTGAAACTAAAATTTCGTGGGTTCAAACCTGCCATTCGCCTGCTGTCGTGCACCCTTTTAATACAAGCATTTTAAGCTTACTTGAAGTTAAAGGGACTATTATTAGTAACATTATTAGCGATGACAGCACTGGTGATGCTCTATACACCGGCCGTGCCAATATTTCTCGGGAAAACGTCACCGAGTACCGGAACAAACTTGTGTCTGAAGTCGAGTCTTTGCTGGACAAAGTCTCGGATTGGGGGCGACTAAATCTAGTCCAGTTTAATCCTCAGAAGACACAAGTTTGCGCGTTTACCGCTAAAAAGAACCCCTTTGTCGTATCTCCTCAGTTTCAAGGTACTCCCCTTGTTGCCTCAGCCAGTATCGGAATCCTCGGCGTCGACATATCGAGTAGCGTGCAGTTTCGTGGTCACTTGGAAGAGAAGGCCAAATTGGCCTCTAAAAAGCTTGGCGTGCTCAGCAGAGCGGGACAGTATTTCATGCCGGCTCAACGCCTGCAACTTTACAAGGCGCAGGTTCGGCCTCACATGGAATACTGTTCCCATCTCTGGGCTGGGGCTCCCCAGTGCCAGCTTCTTCCACTTGACCGCATCCAGCGCAGAGCGGCTCGAATCGTCGACGACCGAGTCCTTTCCGATCGGCTCGACTCATTGGCACTGCGAAGAGATGTTGCATCTCTTAGCATTTTCTTTCGCATTTACCATGGGGAGTGCTCTGAGGAATTGTTCGGATTAATCCCAGCCGCCAAATTTCACGAACGCACATCGCGGCAGAACTCCCGATACCATCCACACCATCTGGATGATTGGCGGTCCACCACTGTGCGATTTAGAAGATGTTTTCTTCCTCGCACAACTTCCTTGTGGAATAGTTTACCACCAGCGATTTTTCCGGACCGATACGACTTAGGGACCTTCAAGAAAAGAGCCTACTCCTTTTTAAAAGGCCGGCAACGCATCTGCAATTCCCCTGGTGTTGCGGTTGTTCATGGGCGGCGGTAGTCACTTACCATCAGGTGAGCCGCATGCTCGTTTGCCCCCTCTCCTATAAAAAAAAAAAAAAAAAAAAAAAGCGTAACTATTAGTACTCTTTTAAAAAAGCTAAGCCCTAAGAATATTAAGTTTCAAAGTCACTTG